GAGAGAGAGAGAGAGAGAGAGAGAGAGGAGAGAGAGAGAGAGAGAGAGAGAGAGAGAGAGGGAGAGAGAGAGAGAGAGAGAGAGAGAGAGAGAGAGAGCACAGGCAACGGCAGAAGTTAGAATTCTGGGGACGAGGGCGTCCGTGTGGAAGAGACAACATGGAGAGAAAAAACAGGAAAGGAGAGAGCGGTACACACATCTAGCGAAAGGCAGTGGTCAATGGGAGGTGAGGAGTTTGGAAATCTTTTTCGTCCCCGCGGATCTGCTTCAAGCAGAGCAATTTCGCATTTGTATACATACATATGTACATACATACATGCAAACATGTATATGCACACGTAGCTTCGACGAGCAAGGAAAAAAGAAAGACGACAACAGCGACCAACAGTAGGAGGAGGCGGAGGAGAAGAAAAAGAGGAGGAGGAGGAGGAGGAGGAGGAGTAGGAGATGATTGCATGGCCGTTCAAAATTTTATTTTCAAACTGCTGACATCGAGCTACACACATCAAAACAAAACAAAAACCGTGCTAGACACGCGTTCGTGCCCCGCGCTGCACACACGTGTGCGCCGTATACTGCCCCCACGTGGGAAGTTGGAGTGTGTCCTAATTTAGACAAAATTTTGACTGAATAACTACAAACTAGGAGTTTGTTAGTTGAATGCCCGTAACTGCGGCTCAGATGCAGTGCAGCGGAAAGTACACGTGAGAGTATGCCTCCAAAGTGAACGAGGAGGAAATAAGAACCGAAGGAGGAGGAGCACAAAGAAACAAGAGGCAACGGCGCCGTATGGACGACTGAATGCGGCCGTACTTTCAATATGTGAAAAGCACTAGTCGAAGGCATGGGCGACGAAGCAGTGCACGCAGGAAGGAGGATAGGAGGTGGGAGAAGACGAGAGAGGAGGGAAGACAGAGGAGAGAGAAGGGAGGACACAAGAGAAAAGGTACGACCTAGGAGGGAGGGAGGGAGGGAGGGAGGGCAGAGGAGGGAGGAGGGGGATGAATGGTGTAACTCACCTTGCCACCCTGAGCTAGCCGGTGGGGTGCCGCTTCACTGATGGACGGGAACCGTCGTGTGTGAACCGCAGGCACGATTTTGGGGTCACGGGCTTGGACAAACGACGTGTTTGCACTGATGAATCTTCAACGTGAGGTGTGTGACGATGGGCGACGAGTGGGCGAAAACGCTCTCTTCTATAGGGCCTACTCCAACTACCCCGTGGGACGTTATAGTTATTTTGCTTATCTATGGGAGTAATTGTGGTCAGACGCATCCATATCTGGGTGTAAATGCGGCCAGATGCGTCCAGATACGGCTGTAAATGCAATCAGATACACTTACGAGTGTGGGTTATGTAGGAAACTGGCCAATATGGGGCGTGGCTGCTTCAGCTGGGCCAAATTTGGCCTCAGGCAAACGGAGTATTTTGCTCTTGAGGAGCGAGGTCCTCCCCCCGCCGTGAGAAGCCTCGGGGGACTGGTAGCACGATTTGCTGAAAAGGTGTTTGGGCTACCGTCTTCTTGAGCGGAGGACCAGGTAGGTCGAGGCAGAAGTTGGAAAGTTGAGACCTGCGAAATCCAGGGCCCACGTCTCCAAGTCCGGCCTCCCGTTGGCGGGCATGATGTCTCTATTTTTCATTTGCTTTTTCAATGGAATTTGAAAGGTTTTTTTGGGTATATTGGAAAGTGGAAATCGTCCAGTATGCCTCCCACGAGGGTCAAATCTTCCTTCAGGATTGCCCAGCAGTTAAAAAAAACTCTACTGGCAGCCCGCTGTCGCCTGGTGCTTTTCCCATAGCCATCTCTTTCAAGGTCGGAGTCAACTCCTCTTCCATGATAGGTCGGTCCAGGTGTAGCCGCTGATGATCTGTCAATGTCGCTTGAAGGTTGTCCCATAAGTTCGAGAAGGTTGACATGTCTGTGTCCATGTCCGCCGTTGGCCTCCATTAGAATATCTTGAAAGTACTCTTTGGCATAGTCACACATGTCCTTCAGGGACTTGGGCACTGACATCGCATCAAGATCGGGATGCCTTGGTGAGTCGGTCTGATGTGATTACTCCTTTTTTTGCAAGTATTTGCTTCCAAGGCTCGTCCTTCTCCACCTGGAGCACACCCCACTCTTTTAGCAGCTCCTTCCTCTCTTCCGCCCACACCGCTTCGGAGATTGGGTGTCCTGCAATCCTGTTTTCCGCTTCCTCCACTCTCCTCCAACAGTCTTTTTCCTCCTTGTTGTTCATGTAGGTTGCAATCACCTGAAAGGAATCAAACTTGTGAGAAATGATTCCCAGGCCTCCTTCCATCCATTCTGCTTGTGATTCGAAGGAGCACTCTGCTGTCATCCAATCTTGCCAGAAGGCAGCTGCCGAGTTTCCCCAACCTTCGTCCTCCAGGTTCGCTGCATTAAATCCATGGCGTTCGGCCTCCTAAATTTTCGGAGAGGTTCAAAACAGGTTCTCCAGTTGCCTGGGGCCATGTACTGGTGGCCCCTGCTGATTTCCTGCCCTGCTATGAGTTGCATGACTACTGGCTTATGATCAGAAAGAGGGGAATCGTTCACCCACTCTATCAACCATAATGGCGGTTTCCTCTATATGCCTTCTCTAAGTATAAGAGTAATAAGGCAACATCTTGATCCTCCTTCTCTATCATTTTTAGAACCTCGATGGGTGTTAAGATATTTTCGAATATACTAGACCTTTCTCGTACAAAGGCTACTTATTGTCTCCCGAATAGGGTTGGTAGGACAGGGCGCAACATTCTTGTTAATGATTTAGCAAGGACAAGGATCTTAAGAGAGAGATAGGCCTCCAATTTTTAACTTCGGCATTATCTCCCTTCATAAACAGCGAGGTGATAATCCCCCTCGTCGTCATTTTTAGGAAACTGGATGAAAAACTTCCGAGAAAAAGGAACATGACTTCGTTGTACCTTGCGGAGAGTTTGAGAGAGAGATAGTTTGAACAACCAAAAGGTGAAGCAGGGGAAAACAATCAAATCCACAAGAGGCCGTGGGGGTAAGAAACTATGGTTAGGATCCAATGTGCGAGCTGGAACGTACATGGATTAGGAGATTCCGGTGAATGGAATAAGGGATCTAAACTAAAATTGTGGATTAATTAGGAAACAATTAACGTGACATTCATATAGAAGACAAAACTTTGGGAGAGGAAGTTAGCTAAGTTGAAGGATTGTTGGGTCTGGTCCCCGATAAGAGGCACTAAAGGGGGTCTTGCGGTGCTAATTCATAAATCGCTAGATGGTCTCCTCATCGATTTTGATACGGATCTATGAGGACGTTGGAGCTGGGTTAAAATAGGAATAGGGTTGGGGGGTTAACTTGGGGATGAAAAGTGGGGCTACCCGCTAACCACTTGTGGGAAACAGGGGACGAGGATTGGGTATTCGCATCGATCTATGTGCCAAACGACCCACTATCTCGTCTTGAATTTTTTGAGTCTCTCCCGCCAGATATACCGAATGAGGAAAGACTTCTGATTGTTGAGGATTTGAATCAAATATGCAGCCCAAGCCCGGATTATTAGAAGGATGATGGCATGAGGAGAGACCGTTGCTATTTACTCAAGTGGATGGGAATGCCCCAAGAATGACGAGCACACAGAGTAGGACCTGAAGACAGCAGGTTTTACGTGATTGGGAATGCCCCAAGAATGACGAGCACACAGACGAGGCTAGACTTCGTTCCGGTATGTTGGCAGCCCGCTGTCGCCAAGTTAACTGGACCCTCGTTATAACTTCTTTGAGAAAGATGGGGTTTGGTCAAAACTACTGTAGGTGGGTCAACATCCTCTATGCCTACTACTTTACAATTGCAATCATTGTAAACGATAAGTGTTTAGAGAAATTTGTCCGGTCACGATTTTTAAGGCAAAAATGTTCATTAGCCCCGCTGTTGTTTGTTATACAGATAGAGATACTCATCAACAGCATCAGAAAAAACACACTCATCCACAGACTGCAGATTAATGAGGAGCATGAATGTCGGGTCAAAAACCTAGCAGATGACCTATTTGCAGTCAAGCCAGGTCGTCCGAGCCACTCAAGCGATGTTTAGCCACGTATGCTGAACTATTGGAGGCGGTTGTCAACTGGAGTAAGTCAGTGTGCTACCTACGACACTCATACAATTTGTAGGCGAATGGGGGAATAAGGAGGGTGTAGGCAGGAGAAATAAAGAGATTCTTAGGTGTCCAAATGACATTAGAGGACTATTCTTCTTCCCATGCCACAATTTTGCACGAGAAGGTGATCAAAAGGAGTTGGGGTCAAACCAAACACCTATCACTAATAAGCAAAGTTGTGCTAAACAACTCAGCCTTTGCGCTATAATTGTGGTTCGTGGCAATTGTAAGGAACCTCCCATAAGACTTAGTAAAATAAGTAACAAATGAAAGTCAAAAAGTTTATTTGGAAACCTCTCGACAAACACGAGGAGAGTTATCTTGCAAAGGTAGCCTAGGACAAGGGTGGCAGTAGTAGAGGAAAATACAGACTAGGTGTTATTGTCATAACAAATCCTAACTGCGGAATCACGTCGCAGTCGCTCATCAAGCGTTTGGCTTGTGTGATGTCTTATACATTCCTGGGCAAAATGTTACACTCGAGACTGTGAAAATAAATCCTTAAAGCTTGAAAAATACTCAAACCCATAGCGGCAAGGCAACCTCAGACAAAACAGCAAGTGCTGGCTCAAAACTTGTTTGATAATAAAGTAATATACAGCCCGTTTGAGGAGCAATACAAACTCAAAAAATAGGTTGGAAATTACAAATATAAATATATATACAACTGGGAGTTGCCACTATCAGAGACCCGTGGGGCGAAGAGAAGAACCAATGCAGGAAGGACGATCAGATAAAGGAAAAGTTTACCTAAATTCCGCTACAAAGTGAACGAAAGGATATGTTAATCAGTGCGATTCCTTAGCATTGGAAATATCTTATCAGTCCAGCGGAAGTGAACACCCAAGGTATATGGTACAAGGCAAAATGAAGCTCAAACCGTTGATTCTACCGTATTCAAGAATGAAAGTAATTCCCATCTGTCAAGTGCACCCAGGAAGTGTATGAGGAAGACGATAAGGGATCAGGCGTTCTGCAAAGTTTCGACACACTAAATCGAATGAGTCTGAATGGACTGTAAGGATGCAAAATTCATAATTTGACTCTGGTAGGGGGCAACCACAATAGGTACCTGCCGATAGCGGGTGGGAGAGACTTCATGAGGATGAGACTGGATTCGGAGGCTTAGGGATGGATAGTAGGTAGTGGGAAACAACAATTTACACTATAGGCTAGTAACCAGGTTGTTAAGAAAATCGCAGGTGGAAAAAAATGCAACCTAGACAGAAACCAACTTAGGACGAAAAAACAGATATTTGTAAGAATATTTGAAGCTAATCTCATCTCAAAAGTTAGCATCAATACTCTTGATGCAATCTTATACGGTGATCCCAACAACCATATGGTTGAAGGAAAAGGGAATGCAATATGTAAACAAGAAATGCGACACATGCAAATGGGTATATGAGAACGCAAGATACCAATGGTGGGTCTGCCCAAGATTGCATAAATGGTGGAAATGTTGACTTTTTCACTGAAAAGAAATCATTGGTAGGAATGATCGCACAAGGGAAAAGTGAGCTCAAGCGGTAGCGCACTTTTGTTGGGAGTGATTAAAAGGATTGAAACAAACATAGATTCCAAAACGAACTTCGACAAAACAAGAAGCAAAAATATTGCTTGAATAAAGTTTGACAAATAAAATATGTGCTGAATGAAAGAGAAAAGGAAGATGAATAAAAACAAAAAACGAGAAAAAATAGTTTATAAAAACCTTAGCAGAGTAAGACATATCTGTGTCGTTACCGGAAACAAAAAAGTCAAGCTAACTGCATAGCTGTCAAAGTACAAAGGGTGCATGAGACGACTCAAACAACAAAAATAGGGTAAAAAAGAAGTAGGATAAAAATGAAGTGAGTCCAGGTAGGATGCTCCTACGAAGCAGGGTACTTGGTCCAACCTTTTCTGGTCATAGACCATTTCGAGAAGATGGGTGGTAGAGTATCACTCGTTACAACTTGAAGGAACCCAGATCCCGACTGGTCGGGTAGGTTGGTCTCTGACCAGGGTAGGCCTGCAAAGTAGAGTAGTATAGGTAGAAATAGCATAATAGGTACCTAA